TCCACCGACAATGTGACATTAAAATCCCCACCTATAATCCACAGACAAGAAAGGTTACCCCTAGCCACAGCCAGTTCCTCCCAAAACTCCTCCCTCCAACTTCGGTCATTAGGGCCATACACATTAGTTATTTGACAAACATTATCATCAGCAAGCTTCAAAACAAGGGAAATTGAAAAATTCCCAATCTGAAATGAAATCAGACCACAAACATTCGGGTCCCACATGCTCAGTAACCCCCCTGCACTTCCAACAGCAGACTTTGACCTCCACCTAACCTCCCCCTCCCCCCAGATACTCCTAATCACTGCTGCCTCCACACTTTCCAATTTAGTTTCTTGTATCAGAACCACCTTTGAACCTGAAGTTTTTCAGAGAACCACAAACAACCAACCTTCTCCCCAACCCCAAACCCCCAACTTTCCAAGAAAGAACCTTGAACTCCATAACAAAACCACCCAGTATGACAAAAAGCATTTAAGCCTTTCTCCCCCCCGCCCCCTCAAACTCCCCTCACTGCTACCCCCTCTTTCATTAAGGCTCCAGGTCAACCGTAACAGTTCTCTGCTTCATTTAGACTTATTACCCCCTTTCTTTACTGTGGTTTTTCCCCGAGCCAAGCGCATTCTTTGCTCAACCCCTTCCAAGTACTTGATTGTCTCCTCTTCCAAACCTTCTAGTGAGATCCCCAGGAATTTCCCCAGCCCCAATAACTTAGAAGAGACCCAAGAGGAATCAGAACCACTTACCGATTGCTCCCCAACCAGCTTCGGCGGAGCCAATAATTCATTACTACTTTCCTGCAGCTGCCCATCCAATGGAAACTCCCCTAGCTGAGTTCCAGAGCTTATTCCCTTCCCCCTGTAACCCCACGTCCTCTTGTCCACCTCCATCAGCCATAGCTTGAGACTCCGCAGCCACCATCACAATCAGGTCCACCTCCAACAGATCCTCTTCCTCACTCTGCACCACTAACTGATTTGGCTTTTGCTGAACCTTACCTTCCAATGCACCCATTTGGGAGGGCAAAGACTTCACAACCACTGAGCCAAGGTCCACGGCTCCCCCCCCCCACCCTTCTTCTCTTTACGGGAAACAAGCGCCCAACACTCCTAAGAATTCCAAATGGCCCCTGCCTCCACACCCTGATGACATCCCCTAGCTGAACTAAAAATTGGACTCAAAAGGGCCCCTCTAATGGGGGGTTAAGTTCTTTTGGAACATTAGGCCCAAGCCCAACTTTCGTATTAGAGCAAATTAAACTCGACTGGGATGGGTGCTGCACACCTGGCCCAAGAATATCATTTGGGCTACCATGGGGCCAACTGAGGCCCAAGAAGAGGGGGCTGGATCACCCCATGTTAATTCGCTAACATGCGGCCCACATTAGATTCCATTTGGATCTCAGCGAGACACTCCCTGATTAAACATTTAATGGTTTCAACTCCCAAAACCTGCCCACTGCCCCCCAAATTCAAATTTCGAACCTCCTTAACACCTGATTCCTGGGACTGCCCATCTGGACCCTTCGATGACACCCTAATCGGATGGTTCACAGGAGACCTCATCATTGCATCGTCTTCTCCAACACCGGCCACCGGAGATGAGACCCGCAATCCATACTTTTTGCTTCGCACTACTTCAGAAGAAAAGGGAAGGACACTCTCGCCAGAGTCTTCCAGAACCAACGTTTTGGAATAGCTCGAAGCCCCCTTTTCTTCTATCTGAACATCACATGACCTCTCTTCACCACCTCTCCATCTTCGAACCAATGGCAACATCTCTTGCCAGATCTGAACTGTAAAAGCCACTTCCCCCGCCACCACTTCCACCTTGTGCGGAATATCCTTCCCCCTAYRRATTCTCATCCTAWCCCACTCRYAGGTCGAAATMTCCATYGGGGAATCATCTGTTTCTATGAAGCCCCCACATGCATCCCCAATAGCCCTAATGACGCTAGGGCACCAGAGGAGAAGAGGAAGACCAAAAACCCTAATCCAGCTCGACTCCAAGTCCTCCCCAACTGCAAAAGGATCAAGGTAATAACAACCGACCCTTGCCCCCCACCAGTCCAACAACAGGGGGTTCCTTCCACACCTACACGCGATTGACAAATGAAGAGGAAGAGCCCATCCGCCATTTTCTTCACTTTCACCCCCCTAGTCTCCTCCCAACGGAACCTCCCCACCAAACAATTCCTCAAGAAATCCCTTCTCGCATTCACCCCCTGAGGATCCGTAACTACCACCCTCTTGCCATCAAGCCACTTCACCTCCAAAGATTAGTGTTTTAAAAGCGTAAGGCGTAAAAAAGGCACAAGGGCCATTTTGCGCTTGAGGTGCAAGGCGCAAGGTGAGGCGTGTGCCTTTTTGAGGCAAGGTGCACAATTTAAAAAAAAAAAGGCTAAAAATTCAAAAAAATATGCAAAAAAAAACCAAAAAATTATAAAACATAATATTAATAAAAATATAAACTTAAGTTTTAAAATAAATGTTTTAAAAAACCTATTATCTAAAATTAAAATACATAAATATAATATGTAAAGCATATTCAAATGAGAATTTAAAAATGAAATCAAACAAATAAAACATTTTCAAGCATATAAAACCCACAATCTCTTTTTTTTCTCAACTGCATCAATTAGCTAATGTGACATATTACATTCCTAATTCTACGAGCTGCCTTTGTGCCACAGCCCTCGTGGCAAGCCCAAACAAGTCCATGTTAGGGTCTTAAATTCTTAGTTTTCACACAAAAAATAATAATTGTATAGTTTTAATTGCTTTTAAGAAGATATTTTTTTAGGATGAATGAATGGACAACATTACCAAATAGGGGATTATCGAAGCTCCAGTTCGCTCGAGACCCCAACATGGACTTGTTTGGACTAGCCTTGAGGGGTGTGGCACTGGGGTTCGGGGGCGGATCCCCCGGCCTAGCCGCCAGACTCAAAAAAAGGAAAAGGCGGCAAATTTTTAAAAGGCACACGCCTGGTCTAAGGCACAAGGCGCACCAAGTGTGCACCTTTTGAATGGGTTGCGCCTAGGACCTGGGCAAGGCGCCTACCCTAAAATGCGCCTCACCTGTGCGCCTAGGCATGCCTTTTAAATCTCTGCCAAAGACCCAAACACCGGCCAAGCCCCCACAGCCGCCACTTCACTATAAGAGGTTGAGAGCCTTGCCCTCCCTTCCTTCCCCATTCTACGATACCAGTTGAGAGCTTACCACCTTCGATTACCTCCACCTGGCCTCCTGAAAGACACATTTCGCTCCATCTTGACTTCAAACAAAGAAACTTCACCGGAGAAGAGAGCGACCTTACTGGAGAAGAGAGACTTCCTTCTCTAATCCACAATTCAAAACATCAACCAACAGATGGCAAAGGGAACTTGCTCTGATACCATGTCAAGAGCAATTTGAAAAAAGAGAACAATTTGAATGGGCATCAACAATAGCACACACCCCAAAGAATGATTAATGATTAAAAACCGTGAGAAAGGATCATTATGTCCTCTTACAAGAATAATTAAGGAGCCATACACATATGAAAAGATGCTTTATAGATAATGTGAACTTTCAATGTCTAAATAGAGAGACCACCCTTTTAAATGGGTGTGGGGTATGTGCTACTGTTGCAATAAATGTGAATAGAAAGGGAGATGGGGCCCTCCTTGTCTAAGCCCTCTTAAAGCAAGAAAGTGGTCCACAACTGCTCCATTCACCAAAATAGTGTAACAGCAAGTCCTAACACACCCTAAAATCCATTTGCACCATCTTTTCCCAAAACTACTATTCTTCATCACCTCCAACAAAAACCCCAATCCACCAAGTCATAGGCCTTTTCCAGATCTAATTCTTCAAGGAACCCAATGAATTATGGAAACAAATAATTGCACAAAAATATGGCCTTCAAGTTAATGGTCAGGATGCGGCTGAGTCAAACCTTACTTATGGGTGTGGGGTATGGAAAGGGATTTACAAAGGTTATCCTCAGTTTTTGAAAGGAATCAAATATAAGGTTGGGGATGGCACCAGGTTGAAATTCTGAAATGGCATTGAAGTTCCGATATCCCACTAAAAGAGGTGTTTCTAGAGTTATTTCCTCCAGCCTCTGAAAAAGAAGCTTCTGTAGCTGATTGCTGTGTTGTTTTTGGAGATTCTCTTGTCCGGAAGTCCGGGTTCCCTACTTCAGAAGAGATTTCAACGAGTTGGAGATTCCTCAAATTTCAGAGCTGTTGTCAAGGCTGCAAAGCATAAGATTAAACCCTTTGGTTCTAGATCAGTGCTGCTGGGGTTGGTCCAAATCTGAATCCTTTTCAGTTAAATCTTTTTATAGAGGTTTGGATATTGCTTCTCTATGTTCTTTCCCTAGTCAAATTGTTTGGGGTGGAATAGCTCCCCCAAAAGTGAAGTTTTTTGTTTGGGTAGCTGCTGGAGAAAGTGCATAGTGAAGGATATGTTAATTACAAAAGGTATGGTGCTGCCAGATACCAGTTGTGTCTTATGTGGCAAGGAGGATAACCACTTGTTTGTCCATTGTGAGTTCTCTTCTAGAATCTTGTCAGACCTTTTCAAGGCTATTCAGTACTCTATCTACATGCCTATTTCTTTAAAGGCCCTTCTTGAAAATTGGAAGGTTGGAGGAATGAGCAAGAGGGGGTGGATTCGGTGGAATGCTATTCCTTTGGAAGTCCTGTGGTCCATTTAGAGGGAAAGAAACAGGAGAATTTTTTATCAAAAGCAGTTCCAGGTAGAAAAGGTGATACCAGTTTTAGATGATATTAGAGGGTGGCTGAGTACTAATTTGCCTTTCAAGGAGGATATCTTGGCTCCTTTTGTGGCAGTAAATTATTTTAAAGGTTCGTAAGGGTGTTTATACGTACATAAGTTTGTCAAGTGGCTATACTTTGCTATCCTTTTTGATTAATACAATTTTACTTTACCTCTTCAAAAAAATAATGATATCAAGCATGCATAGAAAGAAAAGAAAATGCTATTACCTATTTTGAGAGAACACTCATAAGATCATTTGGAGAATATTGTCGGAACACTGGGGCACCTACTTTAGCATGTTCAATGTAATCAAAATTGACTTCTTGCTTCACTACGTCTCCATTAACATCACCAAATGTTTTTGCATGGCTCAAGTTGTCAATTGGCGGTTCAAGATCATCCACTGCAAACCGGCTAGGAATGGAAGTCCCTTTACCAACAAAACCAAGATTTTTGCTGGGCCCTGGATCTGGAAGTGCAGCTGTTTTTGTGCCATATGAACCTTGAATTTCACATCTATTTGGAACAAGTCCTGGCAATTGGCTAGAAGCAGTAAAAGGTACAGCTGAATTCTGGACTTGCCAACCTGCACTACTGTCAGCATGGACTGAGCAAGATGAAACCATTGGGGATACAGATCCTGCGACAGCATACCCATTAAGCACATTAATATTCTTTATGTCCACATCCGGGACTTGTCCAATACCTAAGGAGACATTATTTGCTTGCCCAGAAAGTAAGCTGTAATCAATGACAGTATTGCTGTTGAAGCTGGAGTTTTGATTGAGGGAAACAGCAGTTGTTCCTGCTGGAAAACTGGTTGATGATTGAGATGGTACAACAACACAAGAAGGCTGCACATTAATTGTATGGCCAGTTTCAGATAGAACGCACTGTTGTTGGTGCTGGTGCTGTTGTTGGTGCTGGTGCTGTTGTTGTTGGTGGTGTTGCTGCTGCTGCTGTTGTAGCATTTGCATCAAAACAGTACTAGTTTGGGTATTTAAACCCCAAAGGTTGCTCGCTGGGCCCACTGCACCAACACTATTAGTTGCCCATGATCCAAAGCCTGAAGGAATATCCTCAATGGATATATTGGCTTGAGAAAACTGTTTGGATATGTTAGATGGACATTTTATTAAAGGTTGATCAAATGCCACACCACTTTCAACAGGAAGGCACTTGGGCCCGTGAAGTGATGCTTGTAGAAGAACTGGCTGATCTATTGCAGGCAAAACCAGGTTACTTGTTGGTCGACCTAAAAGTTCAGCATGAAGAGCAGCCAGCGTTTGTGGAGGAATTTGACCAGAAGCAGCCAAAGCTTGAATGTCAAGTCTACCTAGTGAACCCATTTTCGCATTTGATTCTACAGGCCCACAAAATGAATTAGGAATCCCACCCTGTTGTTGAGCTACTCCACTTAGTCTTTTCAAATAAAGTCTGAATTTCTGCACATGAATTAAAAACAATTAGATCCAGTGTGTCTGTCTTGTTCAAACCAAGACAATGGAATGCAATAGCTCATGATCTGGCCAGTTCCGGTTGAGGTACGAATGGAATGGAAGATCCTCTCATTTCCCCTCCCCAGTGACTGAAGGACCTTATTAATTTGGCTGCTGTGTCATTTTCCATTATCATCAGTTGTTATTAATCTTTGTCTTTTTCCACTTCAATATTAGAAGCTTAAGAGATAATAAGAGGGGCAACTGGAAGAAAAGGTTAGGGGTTTTAAAAGGGGTAAAATAGGAAAGGAGAAGAAAAGAAAGGAAAAGGGGGGTGGCAACTTGAACTGGGTTGGGTAGGGAGAATAGATCAAAGGTCGACTGGGTTTGGGTTATCACAAGGTTTAGGTGTGGATCAGGAGGTCAGAGACAGTGGAGTTCAAAATTCTGTTTCTGGGCCAAGCAAAGACAAGCTTCAACAGCAGGAGGTGGCCATTCCAATCACAGTAGCAGTTCAAGCAGAAGATCCATTGCTGACCTCAGATTGCCTTCAGGTTATTGAGAGTGATCCTATTGATGTTCTAGCAAGGGAGACAGCTGAGAAAGGAGCTGCGGCTTCAGTGAATGCTGGCCATTCAAACATAATAGTGGAGGGGTCATTCTGCATCTCCCTTGGCTGAGGTTAGGCAGGAATCAGAGGGGTGGAAACTAGGGGGAAGTGGTGACAAGGAGGATGGGGCTCGAGAAAAAAAAAAAGGAAGTTTCCGGAGGATAGTGAAGGGGCAGTAGGGTGGCCAGGGTCTACAAAAGGGAAAGAAAGATCAATAATTGTAGGTGAAAAAGAAAATAATAAAGGGGGTGTGGAGTTAGGAGGGGGAGAGGTTGGACACCATGAAAGTGAAGGAAGGGTTGGGGAGGAAGCAAATGAAAGGATAGAGCCTACAGAAGGAAGAAATTTAAACAGAAGAAAAAAGTACCAGTGGTAAGACACTTGGGCTGTTTTTCTGGGACAGAGAGGGTTTTGCAAGAAAGGCATTTGAACAATTCAAAAAAAGTAAGAGGGACTAAGGAGGAAACAGAACAGAAGAAACTGGTGGAGGGGTGAAGCTTGGGACAAAGGAGAGGTCCAGGAAGAAGCCTTTGAAGCGGAGGATTCAGAGGGCAGCATGTGGAAGAGAAGGATGTGAAGGGTGCAGGAGTTCTGTTTGCCATTCGTCGGACAATCTAGGAAGAGAGGAATAAATGACTACTTGAAGGCAAGCATTGGATGATGGAAAAGATTGTTGCAGCCTCTGGCAAGTGTGTAGAAGAATGGGTGTTTGTCTCTGTGGATTTGCTTTAGTCTGCCAGTCAGGTTTAGGGGAAAATCTTTGGGATGTTTTTGAATTACGAAATTGTAATTTTGATTGTACCTTTTGTCTTGTCTCTCTTCGGTGTTGTCTTAACACCTGAGCAGCTTGTAATACCTTTTTATTTTAATGAATCTTTTTCTTTTTACTATCAGAAAAAAAAATGTTTTGTTTGGACTTATGAGTTGATTTTATCTTTAATTATCTAACGAAATGCAATTATCTTCACCCAAAAAAAATTAAAAACAGTTAAAAAAATTTGGCCAATTGAATAAAAAAATTATTGAACAGGTAGATCTCCCATCATATGTTCTCTAAGTATAAACAGCTAATACCATACATCATACTGGTGAACCAACAAAAAGTGTTGCTCAACAGCCAACAGCATATTTCATACTAATCAAGGCTGTGATGATTTATGAAGAAATTGAGAAGAGGTTGCCAAAATCTTTAGTGTGAGAATTAAACTGTCAATGGCATGGAAGCCTCCTGAAGAGGGTGTCATCAAGCTCAACTTTGATGGAAGTAGTTTAGGCAATCTAGGGCCTTCTAGTATTGGGGGAGTGTTTAGAAATGCAGAAGAATTAATAGTTGCATTATATTCTGGTCCTACTGGAGTGGGGGATTCAGTTAACGTGGAAATCCAAGCAGTGTTTCAAGGAGCAAAATTTGCCAAAGAATGAATTTTGCTAAACATGGGGTGAATGGGAATCAGATTTTTTGGGCTAAGTTGCAACTCTTTGTATTGATTAGAGGCTGCATCCCGCACCTCAATGTGGAAAGCTTCCTATGTGCATCATTTATGTTTTCAGGTATTTAATAAAATCACTCATTAATAAAATCCAAAGGAAAGTAGGTTCTGGAACCCAGTAGGGGAAAAATTTGAAAAAAGATTGGTAGCCTAGAAGAGAAACTATATTTCCTTGGGGGGTAGAGTTACTTTGATTAAGGCAACTCTAGCCAACTTGCCAATATACTTCCTATCAGTCTTTAGAATTCCTAAAAGGGAGGCAAAGAGGTTGGAAAAATTGATGGACTTCTTATGAGAACCTAGGAAGACACTTCATTAGGTGTGAGGTGGTGAGTCGAAGTAAAAAAGGAGGTCTAACATTAGGGAATGTAGTGAGTAAGAATGAAGCTGTTTTAGGTAAGTGGCTTTGGAGGTGGCCCTTGGAGGGAGAGAGAGAGAGAGATAGAGGTTGTGGCATGAAGTAGTGAAGAGTATCCATGGCTATTCAGAATCAGGTTGGAATGCCGGGGTATCCCGAAGGGCTTTGCTCACAACACCCTGGAAGGCAATTTTTGGCATTATCCCCAAATTCCTCAGGTTTGTAAGGTATGATGTTTGTTCTGGAAATTCCATTCTTTTTTGGGTAAGAACTCAACCCCTAAAAGACCATTTCCCTTCTCTCTATTCCATCTCCCTCTTTAAAAAGAAACCTATTTCGAGGTTCCTTCCCCGATTCTCCCTTTAGCTTTAAACTGGAATTTTGGGTTCCAAAGAGGGTTAAGGGATGACAAATCTTCTTGTGTTTCAGGCCTCTTGTTGCTTCTAAACATTGTGTGCTTGGACCCCCCCTAACCCGGATAAAAGGGTTTGGTCTCTAACCCTGGTTGGCTCCTTCACTTGTGCGTCTTTCTTTAAATCCCTTTCCTCCACCCCCTCCTCTTAGGTCTTCTCTGTTAAAGAAGTCTGGTCAAGGCCAATACCTCCTAAAATAGTTGTGTTCTGTTGGGAAGCCTATTATGGTAAGATCAATATTGTGGAAAACTTGCAAAAGAAAAAACCCTATATGTGTTTGTCCCTAAATCGGTGCTTTATGTGTAAAGTGAAGGGTGAGGACTGTAACCATTTGTTGATATCTTGCTCTTTTGCTGCCAATATTTGGAACTGGGTTGTATCATTATTTGGGTGCAAGTGGAACTTGCCCTCCGAAGTAAAGCTACTGTTCACTCCGTCTGCCTTTGGGAGAATGACAAAAAGAGGGAAGCTAATGTGGAAATGTATCAGGGCCGCTACCTTGTGGACATTATGGGAGGAGAGAAATGCTAGAATATTTCAAGAAAATGAAAGAAGCTTTGCTGAAGTCAAGGAGTGGATAATGACAAGGACAACCTCGTGGTTGAAATCTTCACACTTGCTAGCGGACTACTCCTTTGATGACTTAAGGAGAAATTGGGCAGCAGTGGCTTCTACAGTCTCCACAAAGAACAAACCACAAGTAGAATGCAAACCACCACCGGAAGGAATGGTAAAATTGAATTTTGATGGTAGCTGCCAAGGTAACCCAAAGCCATCCGGAATAGGAGGGACTCTAAGAGATAAAGACAGCAATATGATGTCTTTATTTTCAGGACCAGCTGGTGTTGGTGATTCTGTAAGGGCCGAGATACTAGCAGAGGTACAAGGTATACAGCTGGCCAATCAACTTGGAGTTGACAATTTGGTAGTTGAAGGGAATTCCAAGGTAGTAGTGAGCTGGCTGACAAATCCAGAAACAGCTTGCTGGGGTTCCAGGGATCTGTTAAAGAAAGTTAAATGGCTGACAAGAAATATGACAGCCAGGGTTCAATGGGTTAGCAGATCAGCAAATGCAATGGCTGATTCTCTGGACAAGCAAGGGGTACCAAGGGGAAATCTGTTTTGGGCTACCTTGTAATTGTGTTTCAGGCTTGTGTTTTTTAGTGCTTATAGTTCAGTCCTTGGGGGAGGTAACACCCCGTGCCTCCTCCTAGGCTGACTGTACTCTCTTTATTTGATTTAATGAAATCACTCTTATTTATCAAAAAAATAAAATCACTCATTACTCATCAAAAGAATCACAAAGGATAGACTGAAACCTAAAAGAAATAGCATAAAGGCTCTTACTATTATCAACTTTTTTCCTTTTTTTTTGAGAAGGTAAGTATTTAATTACTATCAACAAAGGGTGCAAAAGATGGTCCTGTATAGACTAATACTGTGCATGGGACCGTATTATCAACTAAAATATTATTAACTTGTCAGAGAACGGGGAAAAGGAATGAAAAAGAATCTTGCTTGTCATCACATACAAGAAGAGAAATTCGTAAGTAATTTGAAACCAAACCTGCAAATGGCTTGCAACATTTTCTCTAGTTAGACCTGGAACATTCATTAGCTCAAGTATTCTCTTTGGAACAGCTTCTGCAGTGCAAGCAAGAAAACTCAGTCACTAATAATTATTTAAAAAAAAAAAGCAAAGAGGTTTAAACCAACCATCCTTAAGAAATTGTTGGAATCACAAGCCATAATATAGTAGCTTGTATCTTTCATTTTGCAGGAACTTGCAGTGGCAGTTTGTCACTTGGCTGTATTTATCTCTATCATGTAATACAAAATACTTCTGTAATAAGGAAAACACATGTGAAAAAATATAATGAAGGGATTTGTTCAAGAGGTTCATACTATCAATGCCAAGCTGGTTGACAGCACTGACAAATTGCTGATGGAGCTCCACTGACCACACTACACGAGGTTTCTTTGATGTTGATGGGTCATCATTTTCCATTTCTCCATCTTCTTCATCTTCTTTAGCATCCCTCCTTTTTTTCTGTGCTTTCCAATTACCATCTGTTCCTTCATTAACAGATGAAGTATACTCAGCATCATCTGCCCCCCGTTTATGGCAATCATTATCTTCCACACTACCTGAGTGTTCATGTTCTTTCTTCTCATTCCACTTTTTACGAACAACATGCTGCCAAATATTCTTCAGCTCTTCTACACGTACAGGCTTAATCAAATAATCACAAGCCCCATGTTTGATCCCCCTCATCACTGCACTAGTTCTCCCATCAGCAGACATCACTAAAGAAGAGAACATCAAATTATTTCAGAAAACCAAGAACTCTAATTGTCTATGTTAAGAGGTAAAACAAATGTTACTCACTGATAACAGGTAGGTCCATTTCTAGCCCAACATGTTCAAGAAGCTTAAAGCCATCCATATCAGGCATGTGAACATCACTTATTACTACATCAAAACAACCTTTCTTTTCCCGAAGAAGATTTAAAGCAACAGTAGCCCGGCAGCAAGTTGTAACTGTGACCAAATAAAAATTGTGTCAGTTGTTTATTTTGTGGTAATTACATTTTTAAAAGAATAATTACATTAACATCTAGCAATAATTGATATTTGCAATATAAAGTCAAGAAAATATGTATGGAGAAGGGACTTTTAAACACATGGAAAAGTTTTCTGTTCTAAAATTTAACCCTGAATAAAGGTCAAAGATGGAATTCATGGGGTCCTTTTGGGCCCCAAAACAAGTTGCCATGTACAATATTCCTGGGTTGTTTAAGGAATCACACTAAAAGAATAGAATAACAGAGTAAACAGACTATATATGTCATCAAAACCATCTAACCTTCTCCAATGTTCCAACTATACGGGGTCAGCTATACTAGTTCCACCATTCCATTCTGTTCAGTGTCATAACCATTGTTAGACATATATATATATGTATATATATATATATGTGTGTGTGTGTGTGTGTGTGTGTGTGTGTGTGTGTGTGTGAGTGTGTGTGTGCTTCTGAAAATGCTTCCTAGTGGGCTCAAACAAGGAGCTTTCCTACAGAACCCCCCCCCCCCAAACCTATTCCTTCCACGTGGAGGAATCCTGTGCCCAATCCAGATTACCCATCAGATAAGGGATGCATTGCACTAACTACATGTTCAACCCCACAGCAGTCCATATCATCCCTACACACATCCTTCAGAGTTTTTGACAATTGATAATAGCCATTTATACATGTCATTTTTAATGAAAAAAGTTGCCCATAAGGGTTCATTATGAACAAATGGCAAGGTATTTTGGACCGAAATTTGTTCCATCAGTAAATGATGGGGAGTGGAATATGGGTACTCCTTTTAAGCTCAAAACTAAGCAATCATTTTGTTTTTCATAGGAATGGTAACTTTCATTAAAATTTTAAAAACATAGCATAACATCTCAAACATTCCAAAGCTGGAATACTGAACCCAAATTCATAACTATTGTTACAAAACAGCCCAGAAAAGTTCACTCCTGTTTGATACTTGTTGGGCTAGAGCATCAGCCAGGCCATTTGCTGTTCTTCTAACCCATTGGAAGTTTGCTTCAACTTCCCTTGTAAGACACCAAACTTCTCTCATAGCTTGCCTGTGGATTCCAGATTCCCAAATTTCCACTTTTCATCCAGTCTATAATCTTGAATCCCCTTCCACTTCAATCTGGTGTAGTCCCATCTGTTTAGCCAGTCTCAGACCTTGCAGAATGTTAACACCTCAGCTCTTAACGAATCGCCAACTCCTATAGACCCCAATAAAAGAGCCAAAATTTTTCCTTCCCTGTCTCTAAAGACTCCTCCTACACCTGAAGGCCCCGGATTACCAAAAGAACTGCCATCAAAATTGAACTTGAATTTTTGTTGAGTAGAGGCTTCCCAACTCTCTTGAATTGCTGGACTAGATATTGAAGAGTTTGCTACTCAATTCCAGCGCCTGATTATATCAACCACTTTGAATTCCTTAACCAACTCAGCTGGTTTTACACAACGCACTACCTTGATAGTGATGCAGTCAATCAAAGCCTCCCTCGATTTTCTTTTTCCTTCAAAGATTCTATTATTTCTTTCCACCCAAACTGTCCATAAGACCGTGGATCTTGTGGCTCTCCATAACAGGAGCACAGAAGCCTCACCACAAGCAAAGAAAAGGGAGCAGATATGAGGGGAAAAGCACTGATTTGGCCTTCTTTTTTGTAGAAGCCCTCAATTTTGGAGGCACTGGGGTGACCACACTTCTTTGGCTGGGAGCGACACAAAACTAAGTTATCATTGTATGGAATGTTCCTAGATTATTTATGGAAACTCACTAAACAACCTGATTGGCAACCCTATTCTGCAAATTTGTAACCCCTTAGGGCTATGCCAAATAACCACAGAAAACACAACAACGAGACAATATTAACCCAGGGAATTTGATGAAAAAAAAATAGTTCCCTAATAGAAATTACCCCTCACAACATACTGACAAAAAACAAAAAACAAAATTAACCATCACAACCCCTCTCCTTACAGGATCATTAAGTTAGATAGCCTAGGAATCCACTTGAACAAGGTCATCATTCTGGAAATCAAAGTCCCACCTCTCTCATTGAGTTAGGAAATAGATTCACAAATCCTCGGTGGAATCTCACCATCAAAAGTTGAGCATGAATTCACACCACAGAACAAAATATAATCTTACCAACCCTAGGAAAAGTCTCAATGAAATCTAAACATAAAACTTGAGAAGTAAAACACCACACAAACAAGCATACACATGGAGAAAAAATTAATAATTATTCAATATAAGAATATAATAAGAAGAGTTCTCCCTGCCCCAAAGTTTATGAAGAAATAAACTTAGTAAGTTGTCTCCTTTGGCTACAACTAATCACTGTAAAAGAAAGAAAATACCTAGGCTTCAATTTTCACTCAGCGGGTAAAAACTCTATAACTTTAATTATTTTCCTACTATGTAAAAGATCCCAATAAGTTCAGGATTATAAAACATAAAGCTGAGTTACAGGAAAAGTTACCTGATAAAAAACAATTATCAAATTCCCTCCCTCAATAATTAAATAATTTTAGCCATCTGATTTAAAAATGACAAGAATAATTAAATAATTCAAAAATTCAAGCACTAAACAAATATTTGTGGCCATTAAAATGCATCATCAAAAATTGTATAGTTTTGACCATCTAGGTGGTGTTTGGATCTGTGGCATTGCATTGTGGTGCATTCCCCTTTAAAGTCCAGGCTTCCAACAAGCCACCATGTAGGGATTTTGACTTTACCTTCCAAAAATCATGTTTGGTTGGATATAATCAAGTACAAATGTACGTACTACTATTTGCATAGGGTTATGTGAAAGTGCTTTAGGTGGTTGTCATTGCATTCCCCTATCCGCATATCAATAACTTGAAGAGATATATGGATCTATACTTTTTTTACTTCAGTAATAAACTCATTACCATATTTTTAAGGTGCCAAGGCGAGGCTAGGTGACAGGGGGCGCCTAGTTGCCTAGGCGTCACCTAGGCAATGGATTTTTTCAAGTAAAAACATGTATCCTAGGGTAGTTCCCTAGGTTCCATAATCGTTTTTCCTTAATAAATATCCATAATTTTCATAATAAACTTCATGTTAAAGTATAGGGGCTGAACTCCTATTTCTGTTATAGGAAAAGAAGAAAAAAAAGGTGGAAGAAGAAGAAGAAAATTTGTTCATTGGACAACATTTTATGTTCTTTCTTACTTATTGGTTCAGGTTTTGAAGTCTTTGAGGGTTCAATACAGCATTTAGCAATTTTTGTGTTGATTAAACCCTAACAAATAAGAAAATAACAAAAAGAAATTAGTATATAAACACACAAAAGGAGTATTTTAGTTTAAAAATGTCCATTTTATAATTATAACCTCAAAAAGTTAAGAATATAAAAGTTTGTTATAACACGCTATAGAAAACTGCTTGGCAATTAGGCAAGGTGAGACTCCAAGGGCACCTTGTCGCCTAGGCGTCCACCTAGGCGTCACCTTGACAATTATGCTCATTACTAATGTAAACAACTTGGAACCAAACCAAGGAAACTAAAATAATAGACATATAATTTTCAAACATTGGACCTTACTTTTTATCAGCATACTTATTAATACGGCTAAAACCAACCACTAGTCAAAAGTCGTCAAGTAGCAACAAGCTGGGGGGCAAAGTCATTAATTGACTTCACATCACCTTAGAAGGCCAAGCCAACCTAAGAGTAGCTGACTTGGTCAGGCCAACCTGACCATGCCAACCTAACGCCAACTTACGACATGTACAGCTAGTCAATTGAGGAAGCAACATGTGGACAAACATATAGATGCTACATGTGGTTGAGCTAATCAAAACATCAATGCCAGCACATTCAATGCAGGGTCATTGCCTACCATGCGCACACAATTAGTCGTGTCAACTAAGGGCATGACAAGTGGACAAAGCTCCAACCACAGGTGAGTGGCATGCCCATTCTTGGATGAAACTCCTCTCCTATAAATAGGTGAGCCCCTCATTTGTTTAAGGACACACACAAGACACAAACCAAACACCTCGGCACACCTCACTTAACCTCACCTCACTTCATATCATATCTTATCAATCTCCTCAGTTCATTTTCTCTACTTTTGGTGTTACTAATTTGACCATCCCCGAGATATCACCTCGAGGCCTCTAACGTTCCCCCTCTATGATTACAGGTGACACTCCATGTACGAGGTGACACTTCGAGGCCGAGGTGACACACTATCAAGTTAACCGGGATTAAACCCAGCAAATATTGAAAGATTTAAACTAAGTAAGAAACATGCTCTAAGATCACTTACCATTTATCCACTTTTCCTCTACCCCACCCCATGCAGGGTAAAAAAGAAAAGAAACATCCAACCCCAAGAAGTTGAACTGGAGAAATTTACAACAAACAACCTAAGGCCCAAATTGACCAATCCAACCAACATCCCAGTTGATCAAGTAGTTCTAAATCAACAAAATCTCAATAAGTGGCAAAGTCAATACACTAAGCCATGTGGTCTATGTGTAGTATCACCAAACTATATCAAAGACTTATGAGTTGGCACATGTCTATTATCACCAAACTATATCAAAGATTTATGAGTTGGCACATGTCTATTATCACCAAACCATATCAAAGGTTTGTGAGTTGGCCCATGTATATTATCACCAAACCATATCAAAGATTTATCTATACACTTTCATGTTTATACGGTAGTCATCTTGAAGCAATTACAGGAAGCCTGTAATGTCATTCCATCAGTTCCTGACTCACCTTCTATCGCTCAGAAGCTTCAGAGAGAGAGAGAGAGAGAGAGAGGGAGAAGTGGAGGAGATGCATACTGTATGATCAAGGCCGCAGCATTGAAATGGACCACAGGCCCACAAGAAACAGTGGATACTTTAACTGCATACATATTGTAGTTCAAACCCTATCGAAGTGTCAAATACCCTGACATCTACCATGACATGTCGAAGTAACTACCTTGTACAATTGTCATCATAATCTAAACACATTGAGTGGGAATCAAGCAAACAGCAAAAAAGCAAATACGAAGAAAAGTTGCCCACTTCAAAGCACTAAACTAACAACGCATAATATAGTAATTAACAACTGAAGCTTTTCGTTCTTACAAATGGAATTCAAACAACATTTATCCTCAATTATTAAATTCTAACACAAATTTTCTACATTCATTTATCCAAATATCTAAGAACAAACGCCAAAAAAAAAACTAGTAAATCTCAGAATCAATTTGAATCACCAACTCAACGAAATAAATGAAATACAAGCGTATGCAAAAGAACAGACGATAGAGTCACCATGATACAAGCATTTCCGAAGCATCTGCTCCAAAATCTTCAAACAAGTGGTATCGTCATCAACAACAAGAACTCTCAGCCCAGCCGGGAACTGATCCGAGACAACTGCATCAGTCTTGCACGAACCATGACTGTTCCCGCTCGTGCTTACACTCGATACAGACAATTTCTGTACAGTAGCCATCACCAAAACCCACGAAAACAAACAACTCTTGCACCAAACCACTCAAACCTCCTACTTCTCCACTCCAACAATCTCAAACCCACCAGATCCTCGCCCATGGCGGATCCTTCCTTCGAACTCGATACCCAAACCTAGAGATCCGCATCATTTCCATTTCCCAACAGATCATCAACACCAGAACCTCAAAGTCACTCGCTCAAAAAATCCTCCTCCAAACCTTCCAGATTCTTATCAGTTCCAACCCCGACCGGATCTGCAACCCAATCACTGTTCCGCCTGCTTTGACCTTCGAACGAGTAAAAGAGAATTTCTCGAGGGATTTTGGCTTATTTCATGTCAGACTCTCGATCCAGAAAGTCGAGAATGGCTTCAGCACAGCACAGAGATAAGGAAAGAAGACGAAAATTAATAAAAAAATACATTTTTTATTTTTTAATGAATAAACACAGAAAAAAAAAAAACGAGGCGTAGGAGGAGCAAAGGAGGGCGTAACGCTATATTAACAAATTGATAAAAAATTGGGAAAAATACGGAAACACACGATGCAGAATTTTGAATTCCATCCCCCCTACAACTAGCTCAGTCCCCCTATAAATCACATCCTGTGAATTTAGCACTAATATTTTGGGCCTAGTAATTCTGAGCTGGGCTGATTTGTATTTCTCCCTAAAAAATTTAGGGTAAATTATAAAGACTCTTCGTGCGAGTTGTGACAAAGACCCCTGTACTTTGTTTTTCGACAAAAACCCCCCTCGACCATGAGACAAAGACCCTTTCGTTAACTTCCCGTTGAAATTGGCTGTTATAATATTTTTTAATCCCTTGAGAAAAATACTATTCATCTTCCCCGATTTCACGAACGCAGTGGTAATCTCTTCTTTGTTAGTGTTTTAACTCTTCTAGGCCCGTGTGTTCAGGACTGCTCTTGTGGTATATATGGTGATTCGCAGAGTCTTTGCTATGGTTCCAGGAATATCTGTAAGCCATGCAATGGCCTACCGCCACCACCAGCTCCGTTGCTGTCGCCGCCACCGCCAGCACAACAGTCGCAATCGAAAAAGACGAGCAAGGGTTTATTGGCTTTTGTCGTTATAGGATTTCTTGGGATCTTTTTGGGAGCATGTACTCTTATCTACACCTTGTGGGCTGGAATATGTTGTTGCCAACAGAAGAAAGTCAATAATTTCGTTCAACCCACCATAACCGGAGGTAATGCTAATGCTGGCACGCCAGCAAGCAGTGGTCCATTGAACACTCTCTCGAGATCATCCACCATTAGGCGGCAGGGCTCTCGAGCAATTATGCGGCAGAGCTCCCAAGTGATTATGTGGCAAAGGAGTGGGACCTCTTCGAAGCACATGGACAAGGCCGAGGAGTTCACCCTATCAGAGCTTGTAGCAGCCATTGACAGCTTCTCGTCGGAGAATAAGATTGGAAAGGGTAGCTTCGGGATTGTGTACAGGGGGAAGCTGGTGGATGGACGTGAGGTGGCAATTAAAAGGGGAGAGACATCCCACAAGTTGAAGAAATTGCAGGAAAAGGATCTAGTTGGTCTAGTGAGCTTCTGCGAAGAAAGAAACGAGAGGCTTTTGGTGCGAGTATATGAAGAATGGCGCACTCTATGATCATCTACATTCCAAGAGCAATATAGAAAAGAGCAACAGTATTTTGAACTCATAGAGGATGAGGATCAAAATCGCACTAGACGCCATAAGGGGAATCGAGTATCTTCACGACTACTCCGTGCCACCGATAATTCACAAAGACATAAAGTCATCAAACATTTTGTTGGACGGAAATTGGATGGCCAGGGTTTCAGATTTTAGGTTATTGTTAATGGGGCCATAGACGAATGGGGAATACATGCAGATGAAAGCAGCATGAACGGTTGGATACATTGACCCCGAGTATTACAATCTGAATGTTCTGACGCCGAGGAACGATGTGTATGGGATGGGAGTGGTGTTGTTGGAGCTGCTAATGGGGAAGATAGAACTATTCAAGGAGGACGAGGAGGGAGGACTGATTAGTGTGGTGGACTATGCGGTACCCATGATTAACGGGGGAGAGTTGCAGAGGGTGTTAGATAGGAGGGTGAAGTGTGTGAGCTTAGAGGGAAGGGATCAGCCCGCGATGGCAGACATTGTGACTAATTTGGAGAGTGCATTGAGTCTGATGGATCATTACGGTGATGGTGCACTGTTATTGATTTTCGACCGTGGTTGCAAATTTTTTTCTCTCTTTTTTATGATTTGTTGGATTAAATTTCATTTTTTTTGGTTTATGTGTATATTAGTATTGATTATTGGATTGTAAACCAGAAGAGAATGAATGGGAAGATGAACAGTGTATCGTGAGGTGGGGAAGATGAACAGTGTTTTTCTCCCAATTGATTATAAGGGTAGTATGGGGATTAAAAAACATTATAACAGCGGATTTCAACGAAAAACCCCATAGTAGGGGGTTTTTGTAATTGACCCAAAAAATTTAAAAGGGAAATTTTCATTCTAGTACCTAGACTTCGGGGTAGTGTCAAGCCAGTGCCCAAACTTTTAAAAACTATCAATTTAGTCTAAAACCGTTAATAGACGTTAAGTGGCATGTAAAATGACACAAATGACCTTTGGATGTCATCTAATTTTTTTTTACAAGGAAGAAGACAATGAACTGCACATGAAAAATATCTCAATTCACCATGACTTTTCAAAATGTCTAAAACTCACCATGTCAGTGAGCTTTTATTTTCTAAACTCACCTTCCGTTTAAGTACCATTAATATTCACTAACAGAAGTTGTCCACATCAGCATAAATATAATTCACATGACCAAATTTCCCCTAACTAGCGAATTAGAGAAAAAAAGGCTCATTTAGGCTTCAGTCTCCCATTTTGCCGACCTTCGCCCTTCCTCTGTCGCTCAGAATTTCCAGCCCTCAACTGTCTCTCTTTCTCTTCACTCTTAACCCAAAAAAGGGTTTCGTTTCTTTTGGGTTCTCTTTGCTTTGCTTCGCAAATCAGTAGAGCATAATAGAAAGGAAGGATTTTTCTTCTTTCTTCTTTTATATATATATATATGTTGTTTCTTTAGGAATTGTAATCTATTGAGGTGATTTAGATCTTTATTTTGGAGGGGATTAGATTGCTTTCTTCGGTCTTCGGGTCATGAATAAAAAAATTATTCACTGTTCTGTTTTGACTTCTGAGTGGCCTGGCCTGGTTGAAGTAAGGTCTTGAAGAGACAACATAACCCCAATCCCCAGGAAATCCAATCCAATCCAAAACCCTTCTCAAAAATCAGAATAAAACAAAGAGCAAATCAACCTAATGAACAGAAGAAATCAAGCTTCGGTGGCAAAAGACTCTGAAGGAGAAAAGAAGGAAGAGCAACAAGTGCCAAGTAGCTCCTTAGATTAAGAGACCTGGGTTTTGTTAAGGAGATTGATAAGCAAGAGACGAACATGGGCATGCCTGTTGGTGTTGGTGTACACTCTTCTTCTATCTTCGTCATGGAACTTCCTTCGTTCCATTCTGTCTTGGTATAATTCCAATGTCTCTTCCACTTCTTCTAATGGAGCTGGAGCTGCTGGGTGGCCAGCTCTTTACGCCTAGGTGCTCTTCAGCGCTGTGTTTGGTCTGCTTTCTATGGTGGCAGTGCTGGCCATTGTCGTCCCTGCAACTGTGGTGGCCTAGATTACTGTGTTGGCTCTTCTCACTTTCTGTAGTAAGCCTTGCCGGTCTCTGGTGCAAGAAGGGAGGAAGATCACGACAGATATTATGGGGTTTGCCATCAAAGTTGTGATCAGGAAAGGGAATATTGTGGCTACTGTGTTTATAGAATCAAGAGAAGTCTTTTTCTTAGAATGCTTAATGCTTTCATTTCTTAATATAATAGGCCATTACTTATGATTTTTCTTGTTTGAAATCAAAAACAATTATGTGATATTTGTTTTTTTTGTTTCGTTTTGAAAAACAAAATCACACACTCCATGTGTATATATTTTATATTTTTCTATGAAGGGTAAAATGGTAATATATTAACAACCGTTAGTGTGTTTAATATCAAATTAGTAACAAGTGAGTTTTAGACATCATGAAAAGTTATGGTGAGTTTAAGAGAGAAATGTTGAAAAGTCATGGTGAGTTATGGACAATTTCCCTAAACTAAATAAATACTTTTGCTATCCCTAAAGGCATCGAGAATCATGTTACATACCTAAATGAAGTCAAAACACGAGTCAGATCTTCTTGTTTGACTTGGAGCGTATCTCGCTCAATCTCTCTATAAAAATGGTTCTCGTGGGACCAAAATTTCTCTAAAGTCGTAGGACTCAATACCTCAATTTTCTCGTGTTTCTCTCTAGATGTCCAACCATGGCGTCTCTGACCTGTGTGGCATCCGATCTTATCCCACTCTTAAATGGCACCACTAACACCACTACCGCCGCTGACTACATTTGCAACCAGTTTAGTGCCGTGCAAAATAGTTTCATGGACACATCTCATGCCATCAATAACGCTTACCTACTCTTCTCGTTCTACCTCACCTTCGCTCGCCAGCTCCGTTCATGTCAAGAATACCATGAACATAATGCTCACTAACGTGCTCGACGTGACCACTGGTGATTTGTTTTACTATCTCTTTGGGTTTGCCTTTGCCTTCAATTCTCCTTCCAACGACTTCATTGGCCGTCACTTCTTCGGCATGAAGGCATTCCCATCAAAGTTGTTTGATTATAGTAACTTCCTATATCAATGGGCTTTTTCCATCATTGTTGCTAGGATCACTAGCAACTCTATAGCGAAGAGAATTCAATTCGTCGCTTTCCTCATTTACTCAGCCTTATTGACGGGTTTCATGCACCTGGTTGTGTTTCACTGGTTCTGGTCAGCTGACGATTGAGCCAATACCTAGCATAACGATAACTTGTTGATTGAATAAAGAGTCGTCGGCTTCGCCGGATCAAGTCTAGTTTATTTAGTTGGGGGTATGGCTAGACTTTGGGGGGCTCTCATCAAGGGGCCTAGAATTGGTCGGTTTGATCACGTCGATCGATCTTTAGCTTTGTGTGGTCATCCAAGCTCCACCATTATCATATCTTAATCTATCATGCCTAAGAGAAATTATGAGTTCTGATCCCACTTCTAATGCATCGTATGTATGGGGATGCCCACCTTGGCTCTACCTCTAGTTCACGTTTGTAAGGGTCGCTGGAATGCACCCAAGAGGGTCCTTCATGCTTAATAGTGTTGAGAAGTAATGTTTCTCTGGGTAGCAAATCTAGGGACTTATGCAAGGAAGTTTGAACTTGGTCCAGAGCCACTCATCCTACACCACCAACCTTGCGTGTTGACGCATCAGGATGAAGAATTGAGACCCAACAGAGAAGCTCTAAAAATGTGTTTTGGGCGTCAACACATCAGCCCCGTGTGCCATGTACCAATCATAGATATTGGGCTCATCTTTGGGAATCTCAATGAAGCTCTGGTTTGATTGTTGGAGGGCATTATAGGTGAAAGCAAAGGAGTGAAGAAGGATGCAGGTGGAGGAGATGAGAGAAAACATGGAGTTAATGGAGTTACGGAGGAGTGCATTGGTGAGGAGGTGACGAGTTGAGGAGGTGAGAGTTGGAGAGGCATGTTGGGTGGGTTTAGAGTGGATGACTCAACCAAAGAAGACACTACGAAAGGTTGGGTCATAAGCGTAAGAGGTATCCACATGGATGTAGATATTGAAGAGGGCCTCTAGTTTCTGCTTGCTAGGTTGTTGGTGGGTTTGGTTTTGGTGGAAGTAGAGTTCCCAAAGTGGGGCTAAGGGGAGAGGGGTGGTGGTCAGGAAGAGCACTTGATCATTCCACTATTGTTCATTGTCTCTCTGGATTAGTTTCAGTTTCAAGGAAGAAGACAATGAACAATGTCTTCTTTAAAAGGGTAGTTTTAGAATTTCAAAATGTTATAAATCACATGTGACATCACGTGTGTTAGTTAACTGACAGACTACTAATGACAAGTACTAAATTGACAGCTTTTAAAAATTTGGGTACTATAGTGGCACATTGTGAAGTTTGAATACTAACTTGACACAATCCCCCAAAGTTTAGGTACTAAAGTGAAACTTTTCCAATTTAAAATTGGGTTAAAGAATTAAAATACCTTTTTACAAATAGATAATAAGGCCATGTTTGGCATCCATCTAGAGAATCATTTCTGCCAATTTTTCTGATTCTCTGGATGAGAAACATGTTTAGGTTTAACCAATTTTTAGAATCGTTTCAATTCTGGATGGAATCCCTTCCAAAATCGAGTGATTCTGTGAAGTGATTTTTTTTTTCATTTCTTAGCATGAGAATTTCTCATTCCATTGTTTCTCGCTACGTCCTTTATGGTACGTTTGGTTGTTGTAACTAAGATGAAAAATGGGAATGTTCTTATTAGATTCCCATTTTCAAGCATTTGGTTGATGAGATGGGATGCGAAATAGTGATGTGCAGTTTCCCAAAACTTAGGATGCGGGGTCACATGGTGTGACCCCGGTGAGAAAGAGAAAACACAGAAAAAAATATCAAGCTGTCTCGACTATGACTAGAGTCATCCTCTCACTGCCTTAACACCTCGACAACGATCGAATCTCCGACAATGTTTCAGACAATATCCAGCCAAGGTAAGACCATATCTATAACTCCTAAACCTTGGTGATTCTTTTCTTCCCCTTTTTGGATTTCTTTCTCTCTTCCCGCAGGTGGTAACACACGGTCATTCGCCGGCTAAAAGCCATTGTTTCCGATGATATCAAGTTATGGTTATTTATAGATCTATGTGTGTATATTGAAAATCTAACATTTTTATCCATTGTTTTTTGTCAGTAGGGTTTAAATGTTTCCATTCAACTGCAGAAAGGTAATATACCTCTCTCTCCATTACTTTCCTTGCTTTCACTTGTGTATTTTTGTTTTATTTTCGGAGGAGGAAATGCTTTGAAAACCTAACTTACTCTCAATTAACTCTGAGGTCTCTGAAGTCTCAAGTTAAGAAAGATTGGAAGCGATTCTCTGCCCCTTGGTCTCTTCGGTTTAATTCTGACTCTTTTGAACTGTGGAGTTTGGACTTCTCTGATCGTCCATAGCTTCCAAAGGCCAGTTGATGGCATGGGAATAGGGGTAAGTCACCTCTCATTCCCTTAGTTCTGAATCAAATAACCCAAGTTAAGCTTCATAGTTTCATTTTTCTGTATTTGGTTCGTATATGATTTTGTTTCTTTGAAGTAATTCATGAAGCTCTCTCTATTTATGCTTAATTATGACGTATCTATATTCTGTGGTATTGTTTAACTTTGTTTAGTTACTTTCAATTTATTCCATGCCTTTTGAATATCTTGCTTTATAGCTGATGGGAGTTCTTTTTAATTCAGATTTTAGCGAAGCCTAGGTGAAAATTTTATTTTAATTTCACATTCTTTAGCGTTCTTAGGGATATTCAACTCTTGGTTGTTTGTTAGTTGGGTTTATTCTTCCAAACTCTTTAGTTGTGGTCTTTCCTAGTTGGAATTATACAAGGGATCCGATTTGGGTTTAGTTCTTTGGTTAATAAGTGATGAGTGGTCAAAATTTTGAGTCTATTGGTTGTCATTAATGTGCCATGAATACCTTGCTTGAAAACTTGTGGGAGATCATAAATTAGATGTGAATGAAATTAGATGCTCTATATATTTGATGTGAATGAAAAAAAAAACCATCACAAATTAGATGTTCTATATATTTGATGAAAATCAAGGCAAGACCATAGTAGCAATTTAGCTAGTAAGGTCTGACCAGAAGTGCCAGAATGAATTAGTAGCCTCTTTAATATCAACACAAAGCAATATCCGCTTGGGAAATAGGCTACAAAATTTTCTCATCAACCAAACACTGAGAACCAAATTCTGTAGGATAATATGTCTCAACAAACAAACACGGAGTGCCAAAATAAAAAAATAGATTTTCCTTTCTCATCCCATCCCTTCTCATTCTATTGTTTCTCGGCAACCAAATGGACCATTAAGTAAAACGAACACATGATCCAATCATACGTGAGAGAAAGGGTAGACTAGTAATTTATCACAAAGAACATAACCAGACTCAAAGAAACCCCAGCACCCCTTCATTCTTTCGTTGTTCTTCGTTGTTTCTCTACTTGACATATCTCCTCTACAACGGTAGAAAGAATCTTCTCAGTTGGTGATCGATCTCTCCTGTACCACAATTATCCTTCATTTTCAATATAAAAAAAAAAGCTTTTTTTGTTGCTACAAAGTCTACAAACCATTCATCCAAAACAGAGAGATCCATCTTCTTCTTTTTTTGTAGCAATATATACCCACACCCAACTCACCTCGCCCGTTAATAGGTAAGTTCATATGGTTTGTAAACTAAGATGGCAATTGAGATTTCAAAAGCCTTAAACCTCTTATTTTCTAGCAGTATATACCCACCTCTGTTGATTTCTGATACTGATGAAGGTTCTCTAATGGGGCCCTATTCGAATCCAATAACAACTGAGATAGTGATTGTAATACATGGCCAAGGAATGGATCACATAGTTTGCTCGAGCCCTACAAGCGAGTCGGACTGCAAAAATAAGTGGTTTAAGGTCATAGAGAGAAATGTCTTTGCCATTTCACCTTTCCATCTTACAACCCAAATTTTGTTCAATAACAATTTGTTTGTTATCATGGGATTCAATACAATGGCAAAGAAAAACCACCTTGAGTTCCTAGGTGGGAAAAGCTAAATTTCGGAGACTTGATGATATCAGATTGCACACCGTGCGTAGAGGAGAAAGAAGTTGCAATGTAGGAGGACATTCAAAAGGAAAGGCATGAATAGGAGGTGGAACAAAGGAAGAGAGTGGAGCAAAAGCAAGAGGGAGAGACAAAGGAGGAAGAGGAGGGACAACGGAGGCAGGGAGAGGAGGAACAGAGAAAGCGAGAGAAGCAAGAGGCAAAGATACAGGAGGAAGCAAAGAGAAGACAAAAGCAAAGATGGAGAAGGCAGGGACAGGGGGAAGAGAGAAAGAATGAGGAGGAAGAGGGTGGGGAACAAGATCAACAAGAGCAAGAGGTAGATTCAGAGTTCTCAAAAGAAAAAGATTAGAGAGTCACGCACTAGCCACCTGAACTATTACCATATTACCATCTATCTAGTGAGTGTTAAATAAAATAAAAGGCATTTGAACACTCTAAGAAGGTAGAGTGTTTGGGTCAAGTTTTGAATTTTTCTTGCATTAACTGGGTCATTGGCAAAAAGTCCAATGGGGATGATGTAGTGGGTAAGAAGAAATGCCTAGTTGAGACACATTCCATCATGTTATCTGCTATTGTCTCTTTAAGAAATGAATATTTGAGCTTGAGAAGGCTCAAAATCTGGATCTGCATTAAAAATATGTTATATTCTCTATGTGATTTAATAAGTTGTTCAATATTTCATTGTGCAAAATTGTGTATTATCTAGTGGAATGTGAGGTGATTCTAAGAAATTGGGCTATGTTTGTTTGAAGGAAAAGGTAGGGAAAGGAAGGGAAAGGGAAACCAATACAAGGTTTGTAAAGGTTTCCCAACCTTTCCCTTCCTTTCCCTACATTTTCCTTCAAACCAAACATAGCCTTGGGGTATTGATTTGTTGTATTCTTCATGGACTTTGAATTCTTGACTCCTAGTTTAAGTTAATATGGTTTGAATTATCCTGTGCAGTTCTGAAATTTGGTTGCAATTTATCTTATTTTTAGATTAAGTAATGCCTTTAATAAATACCTATATTATTCATCAAACTTGAATGGTAAATTCGATTTTGTAGATATCTGTCCATGTAAGCCCACAAAGATATATGTAGCCTATAGAAATCCTATATTATTCATAAAATTTGATTATGTAGTTCTGAAATGTGATTTTATAGAATTGATTCCAAGAAATTGGTTGTTGCCAAATGTGATTTTATTTTTAAGAAATAGTAATAAGATGATTGAGCCAAACACATCTGGCGATTCTCTAGATGAAAATTCCCAGAGTTCATCTTTTCTGAAAGGATTCTGAGAATGAGAATCCCCAAAATTGATGCCAAATAGGGCCTAACTTACCTATTGTTTGAAGAATCACTTAAAGTATCATTGAGTTTTTTTTAATGGACAAAATCCTCCCCTAATGTTAGTGTGTCGTTATAGTTCATTTCATTCGTATGTGATGTTACATAATTTATATAATTTTTCTTAATTCCAAAACTACTCTTTTATAATTGATTTTGTCCATTATTGTTCTTCAAATTTTCAAAACAAAACCCAATGGCATTGTGGTAACATAGACTATTTAGGTTGAAAATGTTGCTCTTTCAAAATATATTTGATGGAGGCCAAACCTGATACTGAAATGGTTACAAGCATTTTTCGTTAATCATAACCCCTCTCTTTGTTTTTCTACTATATATATAAGAAGAATTGAACATACTAATTGGTCAAACTTGATCTTTTTTTTTTTTTGCAAAAAGCCCTATAAATAATATAATAATATAATATATAATGCATATATTTATATATAATATACAGATAATACATAATATATATGAAAAATATAGGGAAAACTTCACTTACCCCCACCTAACAAATTCTAAATTCACTGTATAGGGGGAATTGATGCCAATACAAAGGGGGTAATGGTGTTTAGGTGGGGTGTTGGAAATTTTGAATTATAGTAGGTGTAGGTGGAGTTAAAATTTTTAAGGTGGGTTTTAGTAAGATATTTTCCAAAAATATATATTACATATTTGTATATATAAAATATAATATATAATAACTGAATTGGTCAGTTTGGTTAGTTACCTATTTCTTATATTGGTCCAAAACTATCGAACGAAAACTAAATTGATTAGTTCGATTAATCAAAATTTTCAATTGATTGTTTTTTCAATTTTTGACGAGAACTTGTAGACATGTGAATTTTTAAGTCAAATAAATGGGCTTAATATACATGACAACCTCTAAATAATATGGGCCTCCATGGGTCCAAGGTCCAAGTCTACATAAGTATGTCTTAGTGGCCTAAGGATCCAAGTGTATCAAGTCCAATTTGGTCCATCTCTTATTGTAATAGGGTGATCCCATTGGTAAGATCACTAACTCCTACATAATGGTCCATGTATAGGAGTTAATGCTAACCCAACACCCTACTCACATTGGATTGGTTAGCTAAATGGGCTGAGGTGGCAGCCTTAACCCTTGGCTATAAATAACGTTGCCAAGGAAGAAAGATGGTTCCTCTTCCTTTTGGAGAATCACATTACAAGAAGCACTCATACACTAACACTTGAGGATTGCAAGCAACTACAAGCTCAAACAAATTTCAACAACTTCAAGATCAAGAGAGAAGAAAGAAGGGAAAAGCTTCTTAGTTCTCTACAATTCACTTGGATTCAAGCTTTCCAAAGAAGATCAAACCACCACAAAATGGCTCTTCTTAGAGAAGCATCTTTCACAGCCAATCAAGCGCGAAGCCTAAGTGAAGAAATCTACATCAAATCTTTCAAAGCACCAAAATCAAGGAAATTTACATCAACACTTCAAGAAGTACAAGAAACACCCCAACGACCCTCGTCTTCACCAAATTCGACCGTTAATTAGAGGTTGCTCACATCATCGAGTAGAAATCAAAGAGAGTTCATTCCCTTGTATTACAAATTTATTTTTGTAGGTTGTCTACATATTTTGTGTTAATTGAAATACACGAAATTTGTGTTGACAATTTTCTGGTATGCCCAATGGAACACGCTCTTCCTCTCATATTTTGAGTCAACAACTACAACAGTCATCCAATGGCTACCAAGAAGGTTGCAACTTCCTTCAATAAGCCCTCTAGTGCTTTTGGTTCTTCTTACAACTATTCTGTCACACGTGCCATGGCAAAATCCTACAAAGTGTAGCTACTGTCTCCAGTGGGGCTTCCTACACGAAAAATTACCAAGGCAACTACTCTACAGAAGGAAAGCCTTTTCAACTCTCCAAACATTGATGTGAAAGGAAAAAGGCACATTCTCTCAGATGACCAATCCAGCAGTGGGTTGAGGACAGACTCATACTCCTCTCCATCATACAACTCCTACTCTACTTCTAGTGGTGTCGTACTTGTGATGATGACAAAAGCCGCGACGATGGAAGAACGACTCCAGAAGATGGTCGAAGCCATTGACAACCTCAAGAGCTCCAACGCTAAGAAGGATCTCCAGATTAACTTATTGATGAACAAACTTGAGATACAAAACCACCAAGCAGAATCCAGTCAAGGACTTTCTCAACCTCCAGGATTCACTCCTCCAACGACTCCCAACCTCCAAGAGCAATTGAAGCAGCAACAAGAGGAGCATGATCGTGTCATAGTGCAGAACATGATGCAAGACACCACCCAAGTCTCTGTCGCTTCTCTAACAGTGCAACAGCTTCAGAACATGATCAATGACACCATAAGGGCTCAATATGGAGGAGTTCTACATACCTCCATAGTGTATGCCAAACCATACACTTGTTGCATTGATGAGATGTGCATGCTAGTCGGCTACCAACCTCCGAAGTTCCAATAATTTGACGGGATGGAGAAATCTAAAGCAGCACATATCCCACTTCATCGAGATTTGCAGCAACGTGGGAACTTTTAACAACCAAATGGTGAAGCAACTTGTTCGCTCCCTCAAGTCTACAGCAAATGATTAGTACACCAACATCCAACCAGTCTCCATTGATAGTTGGGTTCAGCTTAAGAGGGAATTCCTCACTCACTTCTACTATACACGTCAAACTGTTAAACTTTATGAACTCTCCAATACAAGGAAAAGAAAGGATGAGTCTGTCATCAACTACATCGAGTGGTGGAGAAACCTTGCCCTTCAGTGCAAGGAACAAATCAATCAATCATCTGCCGTAGATATATGCGTACAAGGGATGCATTGGGGACTACTCTATAGCCGCAAAGGGAACATGCCTACCACCTTCGAAGAGTTAGCTACTCGAGCTCATGATTTGGAGATCCAGATAGCCAAGCATGGGAATCCCCAACTAAATGATCATCGTGAAAAGAAAAAAGGTAAGAAAGAAGTCAATGACCTTAAGACCTCCTCCTCTAAAGGAAAGAAAATCATGAATACTACCACTGCACTAGTTAAGATCTCTGGAAAGAAGAAGACGAAGATCAAAGTGAAGTCTTTTGCAAACCAAGGGCAAGAGAAGTCTAGGTCTACTCTGAAGGAACTAGAAGAGGAGTATCCATTCCCTGACTCCGATGTTCTAGAAATGCTCAACCACGAGCTTCTACTGTCCAAGTGACCTAAAGAGTAAGGACGTGTGATAGACCCCAAGTATTGCTAGTACCATTGAATGATAAGTCATCCAACTGAAAAGTGTTTTGTCCTGAGGGACAACTCACAGAACAAGGAAAGATCGAGTTAGATCTTGGTGACAAATTCACTACTATTATTGCCACCATGGTGACTTTTGGGTCTTTTAACCTAGTATCACTGCAACCCTTTACAAGTTCTTCCTCCTCTACTCAAGCTACAATGAGTGTCCAGACCTCAAGGAACTCTGCACCTGCAAAAAGGAAATCAACAACATAGCACAACTCAACGGATTCTCCTCAAATTATGGAGACTGGGGGCAAAGTAGCTGGACCCTCAATGACGTCTTTTCCTATGGTATCCCTCCCACAAGGGGCGGTTCCTGTCCAATTTATTGTTGATCAAGAGGTGACCACTATCTATGCCTATCCTGACATGCTAAGGTTCTGGAATCCCAATATCCCAACTCTCTATGAGTTGATGACTGATGACTTGGACTATTGAGAAGAATCATTTGTTTCAATAGATGAGATAGAAGATGGGTGGTCCACCTTCACCAGTAAGAAACCCAAGGAGAAGGTATGCCACCAACATGAAGGAATCATTTCGAATGGGGATAAGACTATCTCCGTCTACTCTAGTGACTCAAAAACATCTTCTCAAGATGAGATCGGATGGACCATTGTCTCTCAGCATAAGATCAAGGCTCTTCGTCCCGTCGTCCCTGTGCCAACCAGTCCAAAGCGGACTAGAAGACGGAAAGTACATAACGCCTCTAAAAAGAAGAAAATTCCAAAGAATAAAGCACCTCAGGTATCACCAGCTAGTGAGGAGGAAGTGCTTCAACAGCCTCATCCAACTCTAATAATCCTTTGGGAGTTCATGCCAAGAGAACTTTTTCTAGAGGAGTGTGTAACTACATGCATGGTGACAGTTGATGAAGAGGAAACATCATCATTAGTAGAAGAAGCTTCGTCCGACGAGGACAAAGACATGACAAAGCTTCTTCAAGAGCACCCAATGTGTGACGATGAAGTAACAAAGCAATTGAAGGAAGTGCCATCCCACTTGAGCCTTATCCAAGGACTACAACTATCACAGAATGTTCGCTTTGCAATGGCGAAGACCCTGATTCTCCCCAACAAGTACCAAAACAAAGTACCAAAGGGGGTGACTGCGTGGATTGCATGGCACGATTACCTTCACAGATGAGGATTTACAACTTAAGTCACATCCACATAACAAACCCTTGTATGTTGTTGGATATGTTCGTGAACAAAAAATGCCACACATCCTCATTGATTGTGGATCTGCCATCAACATCATGCTAGTGTCCACTATGAAACAACTTGGGATTGACAAGGATGAATTGCTAAAGAGCAAGTCAACAATCCAAGGCTTCAATCAAAAGGGACAATGTGCCATGGGCATGGTGCGTCTCGAGATAGAAATAGGGGACTTAACATCTTTGGCCCTTCTACATTTCTTTAACATCAGGACATCCTACCAACTACTTTTGGGACGTCCTTAGTTGCATGAGACAGGAGTGGTTCCTTTAACATGACATGCAGAGCCTTTCAACAAAGCCAAAGCACATTTTGCTGATGCAAAGTTCTATGCTGACAAGGTCATTTCAGAAGCTCTTCTAGTCTTTATGCCAAAATCTTCCACAATGAAGGTTTGGAAGGAAAAGAAAGACATAACACGTGAAGAAGAAAATGCACCTTTAAGTGGTGACAAGAAGCATCTACAAAACTAGCATGCATCTGCTACTTTGCCAATAACTCCACCATCAATTTCCTTTTCTTGTAACCAATCAGCCCCCGTGCTTTGTTACACACCAAAGTTAGGGAGAAGGGAAGGGAAACTACCTTTTGAGGTCATGGCTGCGCAAAACACTCAACTAATATCAAGGAGTGACATTGGAGTTCTTGAGAAGGATTTTGTGCTTCCAATCTCTACAACATTGAAGTCATTGGTCTCTAAACCACCTCTAAAAGGATTTGTTAGAGCTTCATCAACTAGTAAAGTAGGGCAACATCAAGAAGGGTGGTTTGACCCCAACGCTGAGGAGCTCCTCGAGAAGGTAGGTTACAAAGAAGGTAAAAATTGTCAGTTAGGGAACCTTGAGTCAGTCCTTACAAGTGGACAAGTTTATGGCCTAACAAAGACGCAAAGAGCTTTACAAAGTGGAGGCTCCCACATCCCTCAGCAAAATGTTGGCTTAGAATACCATCGGATTCCACCTACTCAAATTTCATGAAGGAAAACGTTATCCAACCACATCACTATAAAAGTGGTGGACAAGAAGGAAAAGAAGTATAGACAATGGAGTTTAATCTTCAGTCGGCTAGGAGAACCGAGAGAAAGACAATCAGTGTTCAATAGGCTTGAAGGACAACATGCTACTCTAGTGTCATCTGCTCAACCATAAAGGACAACATGCTATTCCCACATAGGACCACAAAACGCCATTGCTATAAAGGAGAAGTTAGAGCCTCAGAGTGTTGCTCATTCTCAGATGAAGAGGGTGGCCAACTTGGAAGTTTCCTCTAATGAGACAATGACAGTTAGACAATAGACTATTGTCATTACATCTCCATCATCTTCTCAATCAAAGTTCAACTTTAAACCAAGACGAGGAATGAAAGAACAAAGTGAAGAGATAACTAAGGATGAAGACATTGTCTTAATTAATCATATCACCATCAAGGAAGAGGATGAAGATCTATCAAACTCTTCTTCAGATGAAGAACTTGAGCCTGCCCCACCTACCTTTGAAGAAGGAGGCCAAGCTATAGTGGATGGCTAGAAGGAGTTGAACCTTGACATTGAAGAGTAACCTAGACCTATCTACATCAATGCACTCCTTAGCCTTGAAGAAGAAGCCAAACATTTCAAACTACTTTAGGAGCACAAGGATGTCTTTGCTTGGACATACAAGGAAATGCTTGGGTTAGACCCAAAGGTTACTGTCCACCAACTCTCTATTAGGCACGGGGTACGACCGATCAAGCAAGCGTAATGTAAATTCTGGCCTGAGTTGACTCCGCAAATTGAAGTAGAAATCAACAAGCTCATTGAAGGTAGTTTCATTCGGGAAGTTAAGTATCCAACTTGGATTGCAAACATTGTCCCTGTGAGGAAGAAGAATGGTCAAATTCGGGTCTATGATGACTTCCGAGACCTAAATCAAGCTTGCCCAAAAGATGAATTTCCTTTGCCTATCACTGAACTTATGGTAGATGCAAATACAAGACACAAGGCATTATCCTTCATCGACGGTTCATCTGGATACAATAAAATTTGCATAGTGCCTAAGGATGAAGAACTCACGACCTTCCGAACACCAAAGGGGATCTACTATTACAAAGTGATGCCTTTTGAGCTTAAGAATGCCGGTGCCACGTACCATCACGTGATGCAACGAATCTTCAATGACATTATTCACAAGAAGATCGAGCGCTACGTCAATGACTTGGTTGTCAAGTCTAAGAAGAGAGAAGACCATCTCGATGATTTGCATAGCATCTTCAATAGGTTAAGGAGATATCAACTAAAGATGAACCCTCTCAAGTGTGCATATGGAGTCACCTCAGGCAAGTTCCTCAGGTTCATTGTTCGCCATTGATGCATTGAGATTGACCAGTCAAAGACTGATGCCATCCAAAACATGCCAGAGCCGTAGAACCTACAAGAGTTGAAGAGTCTCCAAGGATGACTGACTTATATTTGACGGTTCATCTCCAACTTGGCAGGACATTGTCAACCATTCAATAAGCTAATGGAAAATGATGTTCCATTTGAGTGGGATGAGGCCTACAAAAATGCCTTAGAGAGAATAAAACAATACCTCCTCAAACCCCAGTACTTGTTGCACCAATCCTTAAGAAGCCATTCATCTTATACATCACTACACAAGACTAGTCATTGGGAGCCTTGTTGGTACAAGTCAATGAGGAAGGGAAAGAAAATGCACTCTACTACCTCAATCAGTCACTAATAGGAGCCGAGTTGAACTACTCACCCATAGAGAAGACTTGTCTTGCTCTCATCTTTGCTACGAAGAAGTTATGACATTACATGTTGGCACATTCTGTCCACCTCATCTCAAGGACAGACCTCCTAAAGTACATCATGACACGACCTATACTTTCAGAGAGACTGGCTAAATGGGCTCTCTTCTTGTTAGAATTTGACATCACCTATGTCTCACAGAAGGCTATGAAAGGACAGACACTAGTAGACTTTCTTGTAGATCACCCCATTCTAGCAGATTGGGAACTCTCCGAAGACCTTCTTGATGAAGAGATTTTCTACATAGACATCTTACCAGCATGGGTGATGTTTTTTGATGGAGCAACACACAAAGATGGTGCAGGTGCCGGTGTTGTATTTGTCTCGCCACAAAGAGAAATTCTCACATTCTTATTTGTCTTAACTGAGCTTTGCTCTAACAACATGGCGGAGTACCAAGCTTTAATCATTGGCTTAGAAATGGCTATTGACTTGGAAATCCACTACCTTACAGTCTATGGGGACTCGAAATTGGTAATCAACCAATTGAAGATAGAGCATGAAGTGCACAAGGACGACCTAGTTCTCTATTACCACTATGCAATCCAATTACTGAAGGAGTTCGAGCATGTTACCATTGAACATGTACCCAGAAGCAAAAACAAGCAAGCTGATGCCCTTGCCAATCTAGCTGCAGTCTTAGCACTCACGAGTGATGAAGCAATAGCAATACCCATTTGTGCAAAATGGGTTCTCCCCTTTAAGTCACCTCAGGAAGAGATAGAGCAAGAAAGCAATGTGGCTTTTGTATTTTCTATAGATGTTGAGGACTGGAGACAACCCTTCATCAACTATTTGCAGCATGGGAAGTTGCCCGAAGATCCCAAGCATAGAGATGAGATACGGCGTTGAGCACCTCGTTTCCTATACTACAATGACAACTTCTACAGACACTCCTTCAATGATGTCTACATGAGGTGTATCCACGGAGACGAAGTCCGAAGTGCATTCGAATAAGCACACTCTAGAGTTTGTGATGCTCATTAATCAGGACCTAAGCTCCATGATCGCCTTAAGCGAATGGGCTTCTATTGGCCAATAATGGTACGAGACTCAATTGAATATGCCAAAAGATGTTAGGCATGCCAAATTCATGGGGATTTTATTCGCCAACCACCAGAACCTCTATATCCTACAATTGCATCATGGCCATTTGATGCATGGGGACTTGATGTGGTTGGTCCTTTGCCTAAGTCTTCTTACTAGCACCTCTTCATCTTAGCAGCAATGGATTACTTTTTCAAATGGGCTAAAGCGGTTCTTCTTCGAGAAGTAAAGAAAGAAGATGTTGTCAACTTCCTCTGGACTCGCATTGTTTACTGCTAAGGTGTTCCATGTTACATAATCACGGATAACGGGAAGCTATTCTCAGCAGCATTGGTAACACAATTTTGTGATAAGTTTGGCATTAAGCAGAGGTTTTCAACCATGTACAATGCAGTGGTCAATGAACTTACAGAGGTCTTTAACAAAATTCTGTGTAAATTGCTTGAGAAGATTGTGTCCAAGTCCAAGAGAGATTGGCATGAATGCTTGGATGAGGCCTTATGGGCATATCAGACATCTTACCGCACCACTACAAATGTAACTCCTTTTGCTTTAGTATATGGTGTAGAAGTTGTACTTCCCCTAGTGAGACAAATGGACTCCCCAAGGATGGCTATCTAAGAGGGATTACATAAGATGAGAATGAAAAGCTACGACTAGTTGAGCTTAAAGCGCTAGACGAGAAAATGTTAGAAGCTCAACAAAGAATAGAGTGCTACCGAGCTCGTTTGGTTTGTACATTCAACAAGAGGGTTCGTCTTCGCTCCTTTTAGAAAGGAGATTTTGTCCTTGCTGTTCGACAACCTATCATTCTTTCACAGCGTTTAAGGAGGAAAGTTGACCCCAAATGGGATGGGCCTCACGTGGTGGAAGAAGTCTACACTAATGGTGCTTGTCTCCTTTTCATGTCAGAAGGTCTACGTCTTGGGCCCATTAATGGAAAGTACCTTAAGAGGTACTACCCTAATCTTTTGCATTGTAATGCTCTTGGCCCGCATGAGCCTAAAACTATGAATGACAAAAAAAAAGTCTTTTTCATTGTAATGCTCCTGGCTCGCATGAGCCTAAACTCTAAACGATAAAACAAAAAAAATATATGACTTTTTCATTTTAATGCTCCTGTTCTGCATGAGCCTAAACTCTAAACGATAAAACAAAAAAAAATAGGTCCTTTTCATTTTAATGCTCTTGGACCGCATGAGCCTAAACTGTGAACGGAAAAAAAAAACAAGTCTTTTGTATTGTAACATTCCTTGCCCACATGAGCCAAACTGTGAATGGCAAAACAAATGTCAAATATGAGAATTTCTTTCTCAGAAGAAAAAGAAGAAAATATCAAAGCCATTTCCAACATCATTTGATTACAATGTAGAAGTTGTTTCATTTACAAGAGAAAGACCACTTCTTAGAGTTTACATAATTAAATACACTCTTACAAAGAGCAATGGACGCTTCTACAAGTTGTATTGTCACTTAATATTGGCTTGCATTCCTGCTTGTTGGTTGCCTTCAATTGTTTCAATTCATCATGCTGAGCCTTTCCACTACAAGTGCTTCACTATCTTCATATTACTTCTTGCTAGAGTATTGTCTTTGGAGGTTAAGGAAAAGTGTTGTTCCACCTGCTTTTATTATTGTTCCTCTATTTCTTGTCATTTCTCCTCAAAGGTACAAGACATTACATCAATGTGGAGTTTCTTATTGTCAATGGAAGACATGTCAGCTGATCTTTACCCATTTGTTTGTGTGGGTAAAGATCTTCACAACAAGCTTCCTTAGAAGGGGTACAAAGAATCTTTTCTCTCCCATGTTAAAGGAATACTCTCATCCCATATGATCTCATAGAAGTTAAACAAACTCTCTAGAAGCAACAGAGGACTCTAGCACTATGTGAACCATGACAACTCCTCTATGTTGGAGAGGTAGAGATGAATCTAGAGAAATTAAAAAGCCGATACTATGAGATTAGCGAATGATTGTTCCTCAAGGTGACGCATGCCCAAGCATCACATAATATAGGAGAGAAATCATCATTGCTCTCTTTCGACACATCTTTTATACCTTCATCAGGTTCAAAGAGTTACTCCTACTCAACTTTGTGTTGACAACAAGAACTTGTCAAAAGTTCATCAATTACAACCATAAGTATGTTGATCATTCTGCAAGGAAAGTAGAGATATCACCCCTTCATAGTTAGGTCTTCAGGCTTTGCTAATCTTCTTTCTTGAGGCAATTTCTTCTTTGGTAGAAGATGTATCAAAGATGGCGATGAAGCTTCAAAACCAAATGAACCAGAGGAAGACATCACCTACATAAGCAAAAGAGAAGTATTAATACAATTAAAAAAATAAAAGTACATTACCTCAAAGAAGAGAAAGCTTTGTGCATCAAGTCCTCTGGTGAAGAAGCCTTTTGCATGACAATCCCTAGATCCAAGAGACCTCAGACTCAAAAGTCTATGAAGCCTTGGACCTAGGGACTTGGACTATTGAAAGTCTGTGGGGGCCTGCTATCGATGAAGATCCGCATGTTGTGACTCTCTGTGGAAGAAGAAAGTTGTGTTCATCATGCTTTCCAGTGGAGAATCTCTGTGCAAGATAATCCCTAAATCCAAGAGGCTTCAAAAAGTCTATGAAGCTCTGGACCTAGGGGCCCCGGACCAATGAAGGTCTGTGAGGGCCTATTGCTAATGAAGCTCTACATACTATGCTCTCTGGTGAAGAAGGAAGCTCTGTGCACCATGCTCTATAGTGAAGAAGATCTGTGCAAGATAACCCCTAAATTCAAGAAGCCTCAAACCTAAAAGTCTACAAAGCTCTGGACGTAGGGACCTCGAACCATGAAAGGTTTGCAAGGGCCTGTTACTGATGAATCTTCGCATGTTGTATTCTCTGGTGAAGAAGGAAGTTTTATGCATCGTGCTCTTGGGTGAAAAATCTCTATGCATCATGTTCTCTGGTGAAAAAGCTCTATGCAAGCTAATCCCTAAATCCAAGAAACTCTGGACCCGAAAGTCTATGAAGCTCTGGACATAGGGACCCCTGACCATTGAAGGTCTATGAGGGCCTGCTGCTGATGAATCTATGCATGATGCAACTCTCTGGTGAAGAAGCTTTGTGCAAGCTAATCCCTAAATCCAAGAGACCTCAGACCCAAAAATCTATGAAGCTCTGGACCTAGGGACCCCAGACCATTGAAGGTTTGCGAGGTTCTGTTGCTGATGAAGTTCTGTATGCTATGACTCTCTGGTGAAGAAGCTCTATGAAAGGTAATCCCTAAATGTAAGAGACTTCGGACCCGAAAGCCTACGAAATTCTGGAACTAGGGACCCTGGACCATTGAAGGTCTACGAAAGCCTGCTGTTGATGAAGCCATACAAATGTTCCAAGTTGTGAAGCTCTGACTCAACATGTTCTGTAGAAACAAATGAATTTCATGAGTACCAGAAGTGAATTGTGTCTCTCCACCAAATAGAGTGCTCTGCAAGTATCTATGCAACAAAACATGTCAAATTAATTACAGCCATGACATGATAGAAATTTAAGAGAGAAAGAAATCACAATGATACGCCATTGTATACGGAGCCCGAGAAAATCCATAGCCTCATTTTCAATTGTTTGGTTGTTATTGATAAGCAAATAAGTGCATAGCGCATAGGAAAGGTCGTCTTATTTGTCTCCAAACGCATACAGAAACAACTTTTGAATTGACTTAAAAAAAGGGGCGTCACAACCATTCGGTCATTGGTTAGAGCTATCACAATATTGGATTTTATTAAAATCATGACAATCCTCTCTCTTGAAATTCTTGGACATGGAAGCCACGACATAATAAAAAATTCAGATTACTACAAAATGATCATGGCGGGGCGAGATTATTTCATTGGATTTTATACCTGGTTTCCCCCAAATCAAAGCTGTGAATCCATCGAAACTAGGCTTCACTACAAGTGTTACCATGGCATTTAACCCAAAAGTCGTGTGTTTCGATTAATTGAGTGAAAGTTTCATGAAGAATTATTTGATTGTACTTCTTTGAATTAATGGCTGAACTCATTAAATATTAAAGGCTACCTCTATACCAATGAAGAGTTCAAGCTTTGCAATGTCTGCGGGGCGACAACAAAAGTAACAAGAACCATACAACTATTTGAATATTTGGTGCTGTCTTCAACACAGCTAAGTGGTCCTGGCTCTCGATGCAATTGTGGTCGAACCATAGAAAGCAGCTTCTTAATGTCACCTTATATGCTGAAATGATAAAGAGTTGCAATCCATGCATGAAGACAAGCAGATTGATGTTTTGGCAAGGAGTGTCAAGACCCGATTTCAGCATCCATGGGCTTATTAATTATGAAAAAGATTGGATTCAAGAAAAAAAGGAAAAAACGAATTCACATACCTGAGTTTGTAGGCTTGTTAATCCACCCCAACCTCGATGAAAGTTCAATATTGCCTTCAAGATGTTTAATTCGCCCTAACGATTGCTACAACTATGACGGAGCTATTGGTGTCGTATGTATTCCTACACCTTCCAACTGCGTGCAAAGAGAAACAAGCGCAATTTGTTGTGTATTAATAGGAGGTGGGAGATCAAGTTGCATTAGGAAACCGACTCCTCATAGGAGACGGGACTCAATACCTTGGCAGCAGGATATGTTTGATTCGTTAGAATTGAAGATTTTGAACCATCCATCCTCTGTTTCCTAATCGATTACAAATACTCGTATTCAAAAGAATCATTGAGAGATACGATTTGAGTGAAGTCAGCCGAATGCCAATGTAGTTGGGCTTTGTTCTGGCTCA